CTACCCGGATGTGTTTCCCGAGGATTTGCCGGGGATACCTCCAGAGAGGCAGGTTGAGTTCAGGATCGACCTAGTTCCTGGTGCGGCTCCGATAGCCAAAGCACCGTATCGACTTGCTCCCCCTGAGATGCAGGAGTTGTCTACACAGCTTCAGGAGCTGTTAGACAAGGGTTTCATTCGGCCGAGCAGTTCGCCTTGGGGAGCGCCGATCTTATTTGTGAGGAAGAAGGATGGGTCGCATCGTATGTGCATTGATTATCGGGAGTTGAACAAAGTAACGGTGAAGAACCGTTACCCACTTCCGAGGATAGATGACTTGTTTGATCAGCTTCAGGGAGCGTCTTGGTTCTCCAAGATCGATCTACGCTCCGGTTATCATCAGATGAGGGTTAGAGATGAGGATGTACAGAAGACTGCTTTCAGGACCCGGTATGGTCATTATGAGTTCGTGGTGATGCCATTTGGGCTCACCAATGCCCCAGCCGCGTTCATGGATCTCATGAACCGCGTGTGCAGACCGATGCTGGATCGGTCGGTGATAGTATTCATAGATGACATCTTGGTATATTCCAAGACACAGGGGCAGCACGAGGAGCACCTGCGGGAGGTGTTGGAGACTTTGAGGAGGGAGAGACTTTTCGCAAAGTTCTCCAAGTGTGAGTTCTGGTTGCGCGAGGTGCAGTTTCTTGGTCATCTCGTCAACCAGAAGGGTATTTTGGTAGATCCGGCCAAGATTGAGGCCGTGATGCAGTGGGAGGTCCCGAGGTCTCCATCTGAGATTCGGAGCTTCCTAGGGCTGGCAGGGTATTATCGGAGATTTATTCAGGACTTCTCCAAGATAGCAGTGCCGCTCACCCGACTAACCAAGAAGTCGGTGGTTTTTCGTTGGGGGCCTGAGCAGCAGGCGGCGTTCGAGACTCTCAGACAGAGATTGTGCGAGGCTCCGATCCTTACCTTGCCAGAGGGAGTAGAGGACTTCGTAGTCTATTGTGATGCTTCGATCACAGGTATGGGAGCAGTATTGATGCAGCGAGGACACGTAGTAGCTTATGCCTCGAGACAGTTGAAGCCTCACGAGGCTAATTATCCTACCCACGACTTGGAGCTGGGGGCAGTTGTATTTGCCCTCAAGATTTGGAGACATTACCTTTATGGGGTCCGCTGTACTATTTACACGGATCACAAGAGTTTGCGATATCTTATGGATCAGCCGAGTTTGAACATGAGGCAGAGGAGATGGTTGGACGTGCTGAAGGACTATGACTGTGAGATCCTTTATCATCCAGGGAAGGCCAATGTGGTGGCCGACGCCCTGAGCCGCAAGGTGTCGACGGCCCCTATCAGAGATCTGTGTATGAGGATGACAGTGATCACTCCGTTGTTGGAGCGGATCAAGGAGGCTCAGATGGAGGGCCTCAAGGAGGAGAGACAGAAGTGTGAGAGGATAGTGGGCCGAGTAGCTTCATTTGATTACGACAGTCGGGGTTTGTTGACGCTTCATGGTAGGGTGTGGGTACCGTACTGGGGTGGGGTACGGCAAGTATTGATGGACGAGGCTCATAAGTCTCGATTTTCTATCCACCCAGGAGCGACGAAGATGTATCGAGATCTTCGACCTGATTATTGGTGGCCCTGCATGAAGCGGGACGTCGCTTGGTATGTTGAGAGATGTTTGACCTGCCGGAAGGTCAAGGCGGAGCACCAGAGACCTCACGGCAAGATGCAGCCGTTAGACATTCCCGTGTGGAAATGGGAGGATATCACCATGGATTTTGTCACCAAACTCCCCAGGACCGCACGTGGAGTGGACTCGATATGGGTAGTAGTGGATCGGTTGACGAAGAGTGCTCATTTTATTCCGATTCAGGAGAGTATATCGGCGGAAAAGTTAGCCGATATCTATGTGCGGGAGATTGTGGCACGTCATGGAGTGCCGGTATCGGTGGTGTCGGACCGAGATGTTCGTTTCACGTCCAGATTCTGGAAGCGGTTCCACGACGAGATGGGTACTCGTCTCCATTTCAGCACCGCTTTCCACCCTCAGACTGACGGGCAGAGCGAGAGGACGATTCAGACTCTTGAGGACATGCTTAGGGCATGTGTTCTAGATTTTGGGGGCAGTTGGGATACGTATCTTCCGTTAGCGGAATTCTCGTATAACAACAGTTATCATGCGAGCATTGATCGACCTCCTTTTGAGATGTTATATGGCAGGAAGTGCAGGACCCCGATTTGTTGGGGCGAGGTCGGTCAGCGAGTCATAGGGAGCACCGAAGTGGTGCTCAAGACGACTGAGTTGATCCAGCAGGTCCGTAGTAGGCTGCAGACTGCGCAGAGTCGGCAGAAGAGCTACGCCGACAGGAGGCGTTCGGACTTGGAGTTCCAGGTGGGAGATATGGTTCTTCTGAAAGTCTCACCTTGGAAAGGTGTCATTCGATTCAGGAAGCGGGGCAAGTTGGGCCCAAGATTCATCGGGCCGTTCAGGGTTGTAGCCCGGGTGGGCAAGGTGGCGTATAGGCTGGATCTGCCAGCCGAGCTCAGTCAGATCCACAACACTTTCCATGTTTCGCAGCTGCGGAAGTGCCTGGTGGACGATTCAGCGGTAGTACCGTTGGAGGATATTCAGGTTGATGACAGCTTGAATTACATTGAGCGCCCAGTCGCAATACTTGACAGGAAGTCAAAGGCTTTGAGAAACAAGAGGGTAGAACTAGTAAAGGTGCAATGGCAGCACCGCAAGGGTTCGGAATGGACTTGGGAACCGATGGACGAGATGATGGAGCATTACCCCGAGCTGTTTCAGGATCGAGCAGCAGACTTCGAGGACGAAGTCTAAAATAAGTGGGGGAGATTTGTAGCACTTGGTTTCCGGTATGTGAATTTTATTTGAGCATTTCCCTATTTTAGCCTTGGACTCGGCGAGTCATAAGGTCCGACTCGCCGAGTAGGGACGAGACTCAGGACACGTTTAAGTTGGCGACTCGGCGAGTCCATATCCCGGACTCGGCGAGTCACCGCTGTTGGATGAAACCCTAAATTTCAAGGGTTTGCACCCTATTTAAACCCTCATTCCGCCCAACCTCGTCCCCATTCACCCCCAGAACTCCCAACCTCGCTTTTCCCTTATTTCCTTGAGAGATTGAAGTGTTTTTGGAGTGTTCTTGAAGATTTTGAGGAGAAAGAAGAGTAGATCAAGAAGAGGAGAAGGAGACCAGGCATCTTTGTGTCATCCCAACGTTTTCCTTGAGGTATAGCTCGTTTCCCCCCTGTTTTCAAGCTTGTAATCTCTTTTAGCTTCATAGGAGTCCTTCTTGGGCTCTTCCCCAAGCTTGTTTGTGCTTTGTGGGTTGTAATAAGTTGTTAGCCTTTAGATCTAGGCATGATTTAGTCCCTGGAACTTGGATCTAATGCCTTTATGGGGTCATATTGCATGAAAGCCCTAGATCTACCTCTTTTGGTGCACTTTGAGCCTTAAAATCCATATTGGTGAATATCTACACGTAAAGTTGGAAACTTTACGTGTGATTTGTGTCCTAGAAGCCCAGATCTGTGAATGGCATGGACTGGAATTGAGCAAATCGGCGTATTTGATGGATGCATGGCTGCGACTCGGCGAGTCGTATATGTGACTCGACGAGTCTGGTCGCGAGTCACTGGACTGGTCCCTTCATGATGTGTCGAGTTGAGCCGTGAGCCACAGGGGGTGACTCGGTGAGTTGGGAGCTGAACTCACCCATGTTAGGACTCGGCGAGTCAATGCCTTGACTCGGCGAGTCCAAGGCAATCTTCTTAAAGATCAAGAACAACTCGTCGAGTTTGTTCATACGGCTCGACGAGTCGGATGAAGATTGTCTGAGTTCTTGGATCAAGAGGGTACTCGTCGAGTCGATGCCACACTCGACGAGTAGCAGCGTGCAGAACTGAGAAGTGAGAGTAGGACTCGGCGAGTTGGGCGGCCCAACTCGGCGAGTCAGCCCAAAAGAGAGTTGACTTTGACCAAGGGTAAAAGAGTCATTTTACCCCAAGCGCAGTGTTTAGTATTTGATTGAGTGTGTTTATGGACTTGTAGCCGAGGAGATTCAGGAGCAGCAGCCGTTAGCTTCCCGAGCCACACACTCAGCAGCCAGCTTACGAGGTGAGTTTCCTTCCAGTAGGAACGGGTCTAAGGCCACAATGCCGGCCCGTTCAGTTAGCAGTAGTTTCCGGATTTAGGTCCGATGCAGTAGCTAGTATGTTTGATGCCTTCGTGGCTCGAACAGGATTTGTGTGCTATGTTTTATGCGTTAAGTGTTATGTGTTCCGGGCTACGGCCCGATGAAGTATGCCGTATATGTGTTCATGTTAATTGATGTGTTATGCTATGCCATGTTCAGTCAGTCAGTTCCGGACTTCGGTCCGATGCAGGGGACAAGGTCCCAGTCGGTTCCGGACTTCGGTCCGATGCAGTTAGTTCCGGACTTTGGTCCGATGCAGTTAGTTCCGGACTTCGGTCTGATGCAGTTAGTTCCGGACTTCGGTCCGATGCAGGGGACAAGGTCCCAGTTAGTTCCGGACTTTGGTCCGATGCAGTTAGTTCCGGACTTCAGTCCGATGCAGGGGACAGGGTCCCAGTCAGTTCTGGACTTCGGTCCGATGCAGTTTCCGGGCTTCGGCCCGATGCAGTGGGCGAGGCCCAATATGTGTTTATATGTTATTGTATGGTATGTGGTAGTTTGGGAGAGCTCACTAAGCTTCGTGCTTACAGTTTCAGTTCTGGTTTCAGGTACTTCCGCAGGCAAAGGGAAGAGCTCAGGGTGATAGCATCGCACACACCACAGCTTAGCTTTTATCCTGGGGATGGTTTTAGTTGTTTTGGATTTGATGTAGTATGATATAGTTTTCCGCACAGTATTTTATTATGATTTGGGATGCATCGCGTATGTTTTTCTATGTTATGATACTCATATTATGGTTTGATTATATTGAAAAACGAAATTTTTGGGTCGTATTTTTGGGTCGTTTCACTTCACCTTAGGTTTATTTGCAATTTCAGTTATGTAATGTCTACATATCCATTCAGGAGTAACCATAGATCCAAGTTTGAACTTCCTACCACAAACACAAGTAGCTTTTAAACTCTTGATCTGAATAGATCTTTCATTGAAAATCCATGAGGCGTATAGTCTAAAAGGTCAAGCATTATCATGCTTTCTTTTCCCACTTCTTACAAGTATACTACTATTGTCACACTTCTCAAAGTAGAGTTGTTACCCATTGTGGATTACGTAGTTTTGGATACAAAAATTTAGCTATGTAACATTCCCAAAAATATCACTAAGTTTTGATTCCATTTTGTCCCATCTTGTTTTTGGATCATGTATTATGTACTTGTTTTTCACCTACTCTTTCTTCTTCATATTCATCACTTTGCAAGTCATCACCATGATAGACTTGTGGTCTTACATCATCAGCCAAACTAGAGTTTCTAAGATTTTCACCAGTTAGTAACACATTAAGAAATGTATCCTTACACTTGTCCAATGAAGTAATGAACTCTTCGTCTGGTTCATGATCCATGTAGATGCAATGAAGCTCAAAATCCACCTCATTAAACCAGAGAAAGGCTCATGTAAACCAAAAAATAGGTCTATGTTGCCTTCGTCTTCTGAATCCCAATCCATCAAAACAACCTAAAAAAACACACATTATCGCTATTTTTAACCTCTGAAGAACAAAGAACTATAATAATACAATCTTCAAAGAAATTACACATACCCTATGAAATCGACTCTTTAATAACCTAATCTTCTTCTCCAATAACCTAATCTTCTTCAAAAAGCCCTAAATTTGCGATGAATGATGTCGATATTTTGAAGGATTCTGAGAAAGTGTACGTTTACGTGCAAAAGGTTGAGGTAAGGTGATGGGTACACTGCTCCTGGAAAACGGAAATAACGTTCATGTCAACTCCTCAGTTAAGTGCCAGATCAGCACATGGGTAACCAACTACTAAGGGCACAACCTCTTAAAAGAGATATTTGAAACATATAGCGAAAGTATCCGACTTTATTATCACCAAAACTCGTCCAAGGGTAAAATCGACAGTTTTTGGAGAACTTAAGGGCTTTTATGACAATTTCCCCTTAGGTCGACATTCATTGTCAATAGCATTCATAATTTTGGTGGTAAGAATGTTAGGTAAGAGATATGGTTTCTTTTGATTTTTGTTTGTACCATTTGATGAAAGATTTCCTATTTAATGATTGAATATCATTAAACTAGCCATGAAGTAGACAAAACGAAAAATAAATACAATGAACCAATAATCATAATTACGTTTTGGAACCAACTAACTCCATGGACTTTAAGTTTTGAGATTGCATACACTAACCAAAAAAATGCTATCTGTGGATATGAAATATGTAGGGTTCAGGATCAGGAGTATTAGTGTGTTTAACCCAAGGTTTTGAAAATCGGATCGGACATCGAAACGACCGTCTTACCGGTTCGATGGTTCAACTGGTCCGACCGGTCCTAAAAACCGAAAAAACCACATATATATATATATATATATATATATATATATATATATAGAGAGAGAGAGAGAGAGAGAGAGAGAGAGAGAGAACTAGGTTCAAGTATTCTAACTAATTATTGTGCTATTGTATGCTATGAGAATTACTAAGAGAATAAGATGTTTAGCAATGCGAATACGTTCAACCTTACAAAAATATTGTCATTTTCATGCATTCTTGCTAATTTTTATTTATTTTTGTTCTCACACATCGATTTTTACTCATTTTCATTATTACAGAATACAACCCAATAAGCATTCTGACAGAAATAAGAATAATAATAATAAGTGTATAATAAACTTATAGACGCTTTAATTAGTGAGAATGTGTGTTAATGACAATAGTTATGTAAGATTGAACGTATTGATATTGTTAAACAACTTATTCTCTTAGTAAATCTCATAACATACGATATTCACAGAATAATTAGTTAGAATAGAATAAACTAAGCTTATATATATATATATATATATATATATATATATATATATATATATATATATATATATATATATATATATATGTGTGTGTGTGTGTGTGTGTTGTATATATGTATATTAATTATATATGCACAGTGTGTGTTTTTCATTTGTATATTAAATATATGAATTGCAGATATTAAGATATACATATGTAAAAAAACAGATAGTTTAAATAAGAAAATATATATAATGTGTGTTGTGTAGAAAATAGTTAGTATAAAATAAATTTAATGTGTTGTAAATTGTAAATGAAATAGTAGTGTAAAGGAATAAGGAAGTGCATCCCACATCGGTCGGTGAGAAGGAATAGAGGGTAAAGTGAAACTATAAAATTGAGCATTATCAACGCTTTGAGGAACAAACTAAAGATTCATTTCAATCGGCCGACTCCTTGGACTTGCTCTTTTAAGTGGAATATGAGAGCCAAATTTATTCATTAAACCGGTTTTATTCCCGGTTTAACCAGGTTGGTTTTTTAAAGTTCTAAGCAAAACCGGTGGTTTTTAGCGTTTCGGTTCATAAATGATTTTTGGGGGTTTTAAAACCGGTAACTTTGCCGGTTCCCGGTTGAATCGGTTCAACCGGCCAATGTGGTTTGGTTTTCAAAACACTGGTTTAACTGGTCTCTCTTGTTTATGTGGATTTGGTAGTTTCGTAATTACCATTCTTTGATTTCGGTTAGGGTCATTCTTTGATTTGGTGTTAAGCTTTTCTATTTCAACAAAAAATCTGCAACGGAGGTGGTTGGCTTTACTTTTTGAATGATAATTAGGCAATCGTGTCGTGTTCGGGTTGGCGGGTCAAAATACACCAACCCGAACACCACCATTTAACTATAAAAGTCACGGGTTGGCGGGTTTCGAACATAAACTCATATACGACCCATCAACCCACTTATTTATACGAGTTCATAAGTTGGTGGGTTCGTGGGTCAAATTTAGGTTTGCGGATCAGATTTCATAAATAAAATAGACAATTAAACATAAATAAATTCTAGATGCAAATGAAAATTTAAACATTAATGAAAATATGATCAAACTAAAATATTATTACAAACATAGATATATTCAAATCCTAATATAATTGCCACATTAATATAAACATTAATCCTACATTCCTGCGAATAATACTTGATACATTTAAAAAATATATAATTTTTTTATATTAAAATTCTATATAGGTTGGCGAGCCAACCCGTATGTTTTATGACAAACCCATTATGATCTAAAGGTTGACGAGTTGAAAAACTCAACCCAAACCTGTTTATTTCGTGTCATGTCGCGGGTCGTGTTGAGAATTGTATGGCCTAAGGATAACTGATTAGGTTTCCAAGAATTTTTGATTTTAGGGAGGATATGTGTAACATCCCGAAAATCAATGGTAAAAATTTCATTATTTATTATAACCAAAACACAGATGTAACTAGATCCAAACATTTAAAAGCATTTCAAATAAAACAATTATCAGAGTTCAATCCCAAAATCACATATTGCAGAAAACATGGGTGTATGCGTTGCGATCAAGCTAGATCCTTCCTTTTTCGAACCGAAAGTACTTGAAACCATAAACCACAAACTGTAAGCACAAAGCTTAGTGACTTCCCCAAATATCACATACCAGACATAACAATCAAGCAATATATAACATTCATATCAACGAGCCATACATATAATACATATACCACAATCAATAAAAGTGCTATGTGTCATCCATAGTCTTGCCATTATGCCACGAGCCACCTCGTGGTCTTCCTTTCCAGGCTGGGGGCCAAAACCTGGTTCTTACAAAAAATTGCTAGGAGCCACCTCCTGGTCTTCCATGCAAGCATCACAAAGATAACTAGCATACAATCTACTATTACTAACTATTAACTGCCAGAGTTCAAGCTTTGGTATTTCATATAGTTTTCTAGGAGCCGCCTCCTGGTCTTCCATACAAGATTCCAAGGGTTATCCCCCGAGTCTTCCTATAATACATAAACCAAATGGATTGGCATTAGTGCCTTCGAGCCATAGAAAAGTGAGGAGACTCACCTCGAATGAAGCACTACATAAAATCTCTAGCTGCTGTCCTGATGACACCCCGAGCTATCAATCCACAATAACATCTAATTAGCAATTAGGTTCCAACTATAATCCATAATCCACATTTAGGGTAAAATGACCATTTTACCCATGACCCAACATGAACCAAAAGTAAGACCGAAGCCTAAGACCAAAATGGCTCAAAGCCAAAAGATACACAAAGGCCTACTAATGGCCCAATTTTCCAAATTGGGTCCAACCCCCATATGGGCATTATCCTAAGCCCAATAATTCCTTTAGACCAATAATTGATCTCAGATGACCCCAAAAGGCCCGCAGTAACAAGGTGGCCCAATAATACGAAGCCCAAAGTGCAACAAGCCCAAAACCCATCTGACAACAAACGTGGGTGTACGTTCAGCTACACTGGGCGTACTCGATGGATTCCGGATCGTGATCTTATCCTGGTACGTTGGGAGTACTATGGGTTACGTGGGGGCATAATTAGGATTTTTCCAAAACATAAAATAAAGCTTAATTCTTTAATTCGTTGCATCAAAACTTCAGAGGAGCTTCAATCTAAGCTCTTAATGCATAAAGTCGACACCTTTATGCATTTTCATGACTCAATGGGACCTAATAACCATCTTAATCCATTAATACCCATCATAAACCAACTAGAACATGCATGGACCAATCTTAAACAACAAGCAAGCACTTTTATGAACTAGAAACATCAAAAGAGAAAATATATATCACTCCAACTCCTAGAGTGGCTTAAACTCACAAGGAAAACTTAATACACCATAAAACCCTTAATCTTGCCCTAAACTCAATCTAGCATAATAAGAAGTTAAGATACAAAACTTTTTACCTTGAATGAGCAGGAAATGAAGCCAAAAGTTCGGATCTAAAAGTCTTCCTTTGAACCACAAGCTAGCACCAAGCACACTCCTCTTGAAAATGAGAAAAAACCCCCCAATATGCACACTTAGATCTCTCAACATTCAAAATGAGATTTGGGTTTCCAAAATGAGGCTAGGAGGCAATGAAGGCAGAGAAATGAAAGAGCCTTGAGCTCATAAAGATGTTTAAATAGTGCCCAAACCCTAAAAACTAGGGTTTGACACTCTTCTTGTTAGGTTGGGTGTACTCACCTATGCACGTGCCATAAGCCACGCACGCATGGGAATGAAATGCAAGCCTTTTCCATTAAGGTCCATTTCTGCCAAAATCTTCAAATTATCATAACTTCCTCATCTTATGTCCATTTTCAACGAACCTTATATCCACAGAAAGGTGGCGAGAAACCCTACGGTTCTAACAACACACCCGAGCCTTAAAACGTCTCGAACAGGAACCAACATCCATAAAATACCGAGTTATCAAATTACGAATATACCATTTGCCTCCAAACACACCATTGAACACTTGGAACACTCAAACCATGATACCCACATCTGAAAAGGGCAAAATCTTTTCTTTCCCAAGGCCCT